CTGTAGCTCAGGCTGTCCCTAGAACTATATAGCCAAGGCTGGCCATGAAATCAGGGCATTTTTCCTGGTCCAGCCTTCTGAGTGCTAGAATGCCAGTACTGAGCCACCACACTAGGCCAGAGCTTTTTGATTTAAAGAACTTAAATCAAGCATTAAAGGGCTTCTCTTCTACTACTACTGTTCCCTGATTGGTCAGTTCATTGTGGAAAAGTATAGGTTCATTGTTCAATAATTTCAAATCATAGGCACAACAGTGTAAACTATATTTCATAGTTACTGGAATGCACCAGTAAAGTACCTGGCCCTAGGTGCCTCTATTTCTGTGGCCATGCATGGGCTAGTCATTGACTGACCCTACTTTGTTCTATAAAATATCCTTGACACCTATCTCATTTTAATACATGACAGCAGATGTGTTTGAAACACTCCAACAGGAGTGATGTCTGGGGGGAGTACAGTGAGCATGTTCCCTCCCTGCTGAAGTTGCAGCTCTGTGCTTGTAAAACTAATGTCTAGTGTTTCTTCTTTACAGTTTTCGTGTGTGTGTGTCTGTAGGTGGGGATTTTGGTTATTGGGAATGTGAATGAAATGCCCACAGACTCCAGAAGAGGGTCCCCTGGAGCTAGAGTTACAGGTACTTATGAACCACCTGACGTGGGTGCTTGGGAACCAAACCTGGGTCCTTACCAAGAACAGCCTTTGCTCTTAACTGTAGGTGAACATTTCTGTCCTGCCAACCAGTTTCCAAAAAAACCACATATAGACTCATTAATAATTATAAATACTTGGCAGATAGATCATGGTTGTTATTAACTAGCTCTTTTTAAAAATTGTGTGTGTATTTATATGGGTGGCTTTTTCTTGCATTTATTTCTATGCACCATTTTTTTTTAAAGATTTATTCATTTACTATGTATTCAATGTTCTGCCCAGAAGAGGGCACCAGATCTTATAAATGGTTGTGAGCCACCATGTGATTGCTGGGAATTGAACTCAGACCCTTTGGAAGAGCAGCCAGTGCTCTTAACCTCTGAGCCATCTCTCTAGCCCCTATAAACTAGCTCTTACATTTTAAAATTAACTAATATTGCTTATCTATGCACTGTCTCGTGGTGGTACCTTTTTTCAACATGGCAAGTTCATCTTGCTTCTCTCTGTGTCTCTTTGAGACTCCTTTCTTTTTCTTTGTACTTTCTTTTTGTCTGCAAGTCCAGCCTAACCTCTACCTGTCTGGCTATTAACCAGTCAGCTCTTAACCAATGAGAGTAATACATATTTACAGTGTACAAAGATTGGTCCATACCATTTAACAACGGAGATCATCTCTCCAGCCCACTGTCTACTCGGTCGGAGTCTCTCCTTATCTGTCTTTCTTTCTCTTCTCTCTCATTTTTAAAACTTTAAATTTATTTATTTGCTTGTTTGTTTATGTGGGGGGGGGATACCCTTGGAAGACAGAAGAGGACATTGGGACTCCTAGAGCTGAAGTTATGGGTAGTTGTGAACCTTCTGGCATAGGTGTTGAGATTTGAGGCCAGGTCCTCTGGAAGAGCAGCATGTGCTCTTAACTGTTAAGCTGTTTTTCAAAAATGGTGTGGCTATATGTAAACATTAGACTGTATCGATTAACAGTATTTATTTTATGTAGAGATATAAAAGGATTACAATTCTGAAGTGATTAAATGGGAACTCTGATGCATGCTAAGGTGATTGTTGTGCCTGCTTCTACTGCTGTTCATTATGGATGCAATTTGGTATTGCTTTCATTTACATTTAACTACTATGGCTGGGAAGAATACAATCATACTAAGTCTTTGCTCTTAGCTATTTTTTTTTTTGGTAAGAAGGAATTCTCAGTCTAGAATTCTTACCTAATTATGTTCTTTAGTCCCTATGAAGCTTATTGGTTAAAACTAGATATTATATAGCTAAAGTAAGGAACCAAATGTCAAACGCACTTCAGAATCCTTTCAATTCTGCCTAGAAGACCTGGCTCTTGCATTCCGGTTTGCTCAGAGCTCCTGGAATGTTTAAGTACCAGGTTCTCCTCTAACCAGAATAATGTCACACATGTACAGTTCTTGTCTATTTGTAATGCATTTATACACAATTTGTTATTGATCTTTGCAGCATCTTTGGGAGTATAGCTGATGTTATATCCCTTATAGGGAGGAAGTGTAGAGATCTCAAGTCATAGATGAATTGTCCAGGGCTTCTCAGCTCATAAGCCTGAGACGTAGGCTCAAGCCCTCTGATTTTTTTGTTTTTGTTTTGTTTTGTTTTGTTTTGTTTTTGACACAGGGTTTCTCTAAAGCTTTGGAGCCTGTCCTGGAACTAACTCTTGTAGACCAGGCTGGCCTCGAACTCACAAAGATCCACCTGCCTCTGCCTCCTGAGTGCTGGGATTAAAGGCATGGGCCACCAAGCGCTTGGCTAAGGCCCCCTGATTTCTAAATCTGCGGCTATTTTTAAAATTTCCATGCTCTTGTGCCCCTTAAATAAACACATCCTTCTAGTGGCTTATTAGATATAATGAAGTACAGAGTGAGACCTCATTTGAGATTTGTTGTAACAGGAAGGACCGCTTGTTGGTTCCCGGGTAACCCAGCTAGCTTATACCCAAAATAACCACACAGAAACTGTATTAATTAAATCACTGCTTGGCCCATTAGCTCTACCTTCTTATTGGCTAACTCTTACATCTTAATTTAACCCATTTCTGTATCACCACATGGTTGTGGCTTACTGCATCTGACTCTGGTAGGCAATCCATGGCGTCTCTCTGATCCTGCTTTCTTCCTCCCAGAATTCAGTTCCATCTTCCCCGCCTACCTAAGTTTTGCCCTATCAACAGTCCAAGACAGTTTCTTTATTAACCAATGAAAGCAACACAGAGACAGAAGGACCTCCTACACCAATTTGTGGTGCTGGAATTCGAACCAAGGGCCTTGAGCATGCTAGGCAAGCACTTTATCACTGAGCTACATCCTCGACTTCTCTTATGAAAAGTGTAGGTCATAGGCTAGGGATACAGCGTTATTGGTAGAGAGCTTGCCTGATGAGCAAAGCCCTAGATTCAGTATTCAGTTCTATACTTAGCACCATACAGCCTTGAACTCAGAGAGCCACCTGCTCAGCCTTTAAAGCATTGGCATTAAAGGCATGTGCCACCACACCCAGCATGACCGTTTGACCAAGATCAAATATAGGATGTTAAGCATAATTTCCATGTGGTTACACATCCTACATGCTATTGAGTATGAAGGTGGTTAACATACTTAGCTTAGGAGAGGCATCTAGAATTAAATTAAAATTACTTGGTCTTAACTGTAATTAGTTTTTTGGGGGCTTTGTTACTTTGGAAATCAGGTTTGGATGGGAGAGAGGGTTACTGTTTAAATTTGAGGCTCCATTCATAGTTTTGGGGTGGTTTGTCTGAGTAAGTATTGCACATATAATATATAGTAGATAAAAGCTCTCCCTAAGAGCATTTGTGAGTTTCATGGTCTTGCAACTTTTTCTGCCATGTGGGGCTAGACCTTCTTGCCCTGTATACTGACTTGCACCGTTGCACCCAGATGTAAAACTTGGTGCCTCTGATTTTCAGAAAGGCTCTATTCATAGAGCACATTGTGGATTTGTATACATTACTAAAGAAAGGGAGAGAGCCTCGCTTTGCATTAATGCAGACAACTTTCAGCTGTCCCTGGCCTGAGCTCTTCACCCCCACCCAATCCTAGCTTTGCCCTATTGTACTAGCTCCTCTTTTCTTCTCTGTCCCTCTCATCATTCTTCTCTCAGTCCCTTTTTGAGATAAAACAACAAATTCTTCCCCTTGTAGAATGCAGAGCAATTTCCTTTTCTTGACAGCTATTCTGGGATCTTGACAGCCATTCTTCAGGGAACCACCCACTCTAGGGGAACTGGACCTGAGAGGTTGGGGCCCCATATCAAGGGTGCATATTTTTGCAAAGAAAGTTTCTTTCAAGAGGAATTCTGTGTTCACTGTTAGGCTGATAAAAGGGAGAATTTTCCATCCTGTTAAATAGCAGCTAATACACCAATCATGTTTTACTAAATTCCCAATAAAGTGTCAGAAGTCTAAAAAAACGATTATATCTGTAATTTATTGAACTCATAAACTCTAGTTATCTTTGCTTAATATAATATTCTGTGTATAGAGTATGTTGCTTTAAAGATACTTGCTTGCATATAGGTCATAACACAAAGGAATTGTCTCACACCTTCTCTGAACCATTATGCATAAATAAGTTTAGCTTTTGATACTTGAATATTTCTTTAGCATGATTTTTCAGCTCTGACAGTTTTAAGTTATGTAAAGATAGTGTGTATGCTTTAGAACTCCATTTATTTTCAGAAGAAAACCTTTATTTTTTTATATTAGTTTTTTGTTTTGTTTTGTTTTGTTTTTCAAGATAGAATTTCTCTGTGTAACTGTCCTGGCTGTCCTGGAACTTGCTCTGTAGACCAAGCTGGCCTCGAACTCCGAGATCCACCTGTCTCTTAAAGGCATGCATCACCACCACCTGGCTAGTTAGTTTTTTTTTTTTTTTTTTTTTTTTTTTTTTTTTTTTTTTTTTTTTTTTTTTGAGACAGGGTTTCTCTTTGTAGCCCTGGCTGTCTATCTTGGAACTCACTCTGTAGACCATGCTGGCCTCAAGCTTAGAGATTCACTTGCTTCTGCCTCCCAAGTGCTGGAATTAAAAGTGTGCACTACCATCGCCCAGCGAGGAATGCTTTAATCCTTTAATGCTTGTGTTTATGACTCATTTTCCCTGTAAATGACTGAATCTTTGGTTGTTCTTAGCTGAAATATGGATCATATTTTTCTATTTTTAAAAATGTCAGTGTCAAAAAGGTTATAAGGATTTCACTGTTGTAATATATTAATCCTTTTCTGAATTTATGAATAAAATGTATGAAATTGCTTTTATTCTTGCCATGTATCAGCCCAGACTCACAGATTGTTTCCCTTATAGGTAATAGAGAAAAGGAAAACCCAACCAATGATTATGTGATAATATGGAAGAAGATGGGAAAAAAACCGTTTAATGGGTAAGGAACAATGCTGTGGTAAAATCTTATTAATGAGAATCATTCCTGATGGTATGACCAGCCTGTCTTTGGTTAATTATGATCTGTGTCTTAGTGGTGTCCTGAACTTCTGCTCCCAGCGTCCATCCTGGCACATTTTTCATACCATAAATTAAGAGGTGGTACAGTCGTATTTAAAGATAAAATGGACCTTGAGACCAGCAAGAATACTGAAAAGGGGTTTGAAGACTGCACTTGCTGTGGCCTGTCAAGAGTAATTACCCACCCTTCTTTTTCTCCGAATACTGCAGCTGCTGTGACAACAGGCTCACCATGGGGATCTTGTTCACTTGAGCAACTGCAGATGTGTGTCAGGCAGTAATCAAATAAAATTTCAAAAGCCCATATATTTTTATTGTCTAGAATTCAGATATTCTAGATAACCAAAACTGTCCATGAATGTTAGGTCCCTACTAGAGTCTAGAAGTTTATGCAGCATTTATTAGATTAGGGCAGCTTTCTTCTCTGTCTAAGCACTGGTTCCCAACCTTCCTAATGCTGTGACCCTTTAGTACTGTGCCTCATGTTGTGCTGACCCCCAACCATAAAATCATTTTTGTTGCTATTGCATAACTATCATGTAAAAAATATCTGACATGCGACTGCTGTGAAAGGGTCATTTGACAACTCCAAAGGGGTCATGACCCACAGTTGAGACCATGGTCTAGTGGTTGAAAACATGAGCTTTGATCCCAGTCTACTTTGGGACAGTTGTTTTTAGCTTGCTTGGGCAAGTTGATCTCTGAGCTTCAATTCTCCAGCTTAAATTAGAGACAATAAAATATTTATAATATGATGATGCTGAGGATTAATTAGTTCATATGAAAAATGCACAGTAATGCCTAGAACACAGTAAGTACTTGGTAAACATCATCTCCATGGGATCACTCTGTGATGTTGCACTTTGGGAGTTAGCCCATCTTAGGGAAGGCTAGTGCTGAGGGCAAAAGATTCTTTATGAAAGTTTTTGTTTTAGCCTAGTTTCTTTTCTCTTAGAGTGTGTTGCTCAACTGTGAGAACAGAGTTATCCACCTCCAGCTCTTACTGCATATCTTATGGTGTATATGAATAAACAGCCATTTCCTAGCTATATATAATAGTTCTGCCTCAGCTTGTGTCACCTGCTGGTGGCATGCACCAGTTCCCAGCACTCAGGAGGCTGAAGAAGAAGGATCATGAATTTGAGGCCAAACCTCAGCTTCATTGTAAGATACTACCCACCCTACTCCCCCACCACCACCAAAAAAAAAGAGAGATTCTGTCTGTGCAGGATGTATGTAGTTTTTCTTCTTTAAAGATAGCTATGCCAGATTTTTGGTTCAGAGCATGGCAGCCTCATTGAACAAAAGAGTCCCTCTTTTTTTTTTTTTTGAGACATACTGGCCTTGAACTCACTGTGGAGCTGAGGGTGACCTTGAACTCCTGATCCTCCAACTTTCACCCCAGTGCTGGGAAGCAGGTGTGTAGCACCATGCCCCTGCTTTTGAGTTTCTTTTTATTACAGTATTTTTGTACCTTTGAAAATATGTGTGTGTGTGCTGTTTACATGTATCTGTTTAGCATGTGTGTGCTTGGTGTTCATGGTCGCCCGAATAGGGCATTGGATCTCCTGGCATTGGAGTTATAGGTGGTTGTAAGCTACTATGTGGATGTTTGAAATAGAACTCAAATCCTCAGGCAGAGTAGCAAGTGCTGCTCTTTGTCATGGAGCCAGCTTTCCAGTCTTTCAGATTGTCTTTGAAGTCTCTCCCATTGCTTGTCACCTCTTGCTGAAGTCAGTAAGTGGTACTCACACCTCCTGCCTGCTCAGTTAATAGTGATTCCTTCTCGGGTCTCTGAGGGAGTTGAAGACCAGATAATTACAGATTTCCTTGTTTACCAGACAGAGAAAGGGGGTTATGATAGAAGATAAATTAGGTACAAGACTTTGGACTCACCAAGTTAGGAAGGATATGGAGTATTTTCTCATAATTTGTCAAATACAAATGGACTAGACATTGTTGATGTACATATTGCTTGTATATATTATATATAGCTATTGTACTTACTGTATATAGTTTTTCTAATATTAGTTATAGCCTTTTTTATTTTAGACAAAAAGTGAAATATAGTGATATTTTATTTGTTTTAATAAAGGAAGTTTGCCTAAAGATCAGAAGGGCAAAGCTAAGCCACTAGAGGTCAGGCAATGGTGGCACACACCTTTAATACCAGGATTTAGGAGACAGAGGAGAAGGATCTCTGTGAGTTCAAAGCCACTCTGGTCTACACAAGATCAATGCAGAAACAAATCCAAGTGGTGGTACCCCATCTTTAATCCCAGTACTAGGGAGTTTAATCCCAGCACTAGAGGGAATATAAAATAGGAGGAAAGAGAGACTCAAGCTGCTTAATCTACTTAGTCTGCAGTCGGCTCAGCCTTGGTAGAGGTAAAACTTCTCTAGTGGCTTGGTTGCTTTGATTTTCAGGTTGAATCCCAATAGCTGTCTCTGGGTTATTATTTGTGCTACAGGTTTTTATATTTTTTACTATTATTATTATTGTGATAGAGTACAAAGAGGATTGAGAGGAGATTGCTTGTCATATGGCTCAGTACAAAATTTAATAGTCTCGTTGAGTGTTTTCCCTTTGTGAATGAGCCTCTCCATTTTCCATTTTTAGGCAGTAAGATAAATAACCAGGTGAAGGATGCAGATGTAGAGAGAATCGCACCTGATCCTTTGTAGTTGAAGGTGGCAGTCACTGAGCATTTGCTGTGGAGCCACAGATTCCTACCAGCTATGCATCCCAGCCTGTGATTCACAGCCACAGGCCCATATTCCACACTTGGCACAGTTTGCTCCTACCATCTTCAAAAAGACTCTAGATGCTCACTAGGCCCCCTAGGTAGATCTGCTACTGTGATTCCATGTCCCCAGTGAAGCTGTACCATTTGAAGTACATTTCCGTGGATCTTCAAAGTCTTTCTCTGGCAAATTCTGCTTGATTTTTTTCTATTCACCCAGCAGCTACTGGAGCATGCAAGGCAGAGGCTTTCAGAAACAGAATGCTCGAGAGGCTGCCCAAGTGTTGGAGCTCCAATACTACAGGTTGTCAAAACCTCCAGTGTGCAAGCAGACAATTGAAAGTCATAACCCGTAGTCATAGCTCAGTAGCATGGTAGGTTGTGTGGAACTAAGTGGTTGGGTTTCATTTGAAGAGAACTAGCAAGAACCCAGAGTAATTGTTTCCCCAGTCACACTTTGTTACCTGTACCATTTGACCAGTAGGAAGGGGAGTTTGTGAGGTCTGCTGAAAGGACCTCAGCAGGAGGTGGCTAGTCAGGGTTAGTGTGCCCTCAGTGTCTTCTGACTGTAGGAAATAACTGTTTCCTGAGCTCTATTGGTACCAGGCACTGCTTGAAGCATTTCTTACCTGTTAACTAATTGAATAATTTAACAATTCTATGTATACTCACAGGAATATTCTTTCTGTTTCCTGAAGAAACTGAGGTCTGGAGACACTGCCTGTCGGTCATATAGAGCTAACAGGAAAGTGATAGAATCCCAAACTAGCTAGCTTAGCTTGACCTAACTACTGTGCTATGCTGTTTGGTTCGTTTGCAAATTAACATTTTCTCTATTCACATTTTATAGTTGTAGGACCAGAAAATTTTTAAATTAAAAAGTGCTTTTAATTTCTCATAATAGTATACAAAAGAAAACTCTAGCAGAAAGCCCAACACCAGTGCACCAGCTCACATGGGAGGCTCCCTAGAGCACTGTGTTTTAGAGTCATAGAACCAGAGGCTGGCAGGGCTCTACAAGCTTGCTGCTGCTGCTGCTTTTTTTTTTTTTTTCTTTTCAAGACAAGGTGACAGGGTCTCACTATATAGCTCTAGCTGTCCTAGAACTCACTATTTAAAACAAGCTAGCCTCAGACTCCCAGAGACCTGCATGCCTCTACCTTCGGAGTGCTGGGACTATAGATGTGAGTTACCATGCCCAGCCATTTGTTTTAACATTTATTTTACTTGTGAGTGTGTATGCGTACACACACATAAGGAGCTCAGAAAACAACTTGCAGAGTTGGTTCTGTCCTTCTATCTTGTGAGTCCCAGGGATTGAACTCTGGTGTTCAGGTGTGTCAGCAAGCACCTTTACCTTCCTAGCCATCTAATCAGCCTAGTTTTGTTTTGTTTTGTTTTTTGAGTCAAGAAGCAACTATATATTTAACATAATAAAAATATGAGATATAGTAATAAATACTAGTAATAAATTCACAAAATATTGATTCTTCTATTCTAACAACCACATCTGTTTCAAAGGGATGACAAGTACACGTGCCAAGACTTTGTTCTTGGATGCTTTGACCTGTATCAGTGGTTCCTGGTGATTTTAATTTCATGGATCTTTTAAATACGCACAATAACTACAACCTATTGTTTGCAAAACAAAACACTTTAACATCAAGAATGTTGGAGATAAAATCTGTTTGTAAAGAACCAGTGTTTCCCAAGGACAGGCACATCCTGGCCAGTGAAGACTTGTGGTTAGATTCTCATTTATCTGGGTTGCTGGGGTCAGATTCCATTTGGACCAGATGACCAGTGCAGTATAACATCCTCCTGTCCATCCAAAGCATGCACAGGGACATGGACGGACAGAACTCCTGCTGTAGGACATTCCCACCCTATCTGACCACATTCTTTTTTTAAATTATTATTTCAGATGTACACATGTTTTGCCTGATGTATGAATGTGCATTGCATGTGTGTCTGCTGTCCTTGTGGGCTAAATGAGGTTACTGGATCCCTTAGAATTTGATTATAGATGGTGTAGGTGCTGGAAATGGAACTTGTGTCCTCTAGAAGAGCAGCAAGTACTCTTACCTGCTGAGCCATTTCTCCCTTTTTGTTCTAAAAATGACCTGAGTGCTGTTGCTTCTAGGCTCTTTAGGGTTTCCCCAGAGGTATTCTGGTT